TGCTTCTCCCTCTCCCACTCCCCCTGCTTGTGTTCCCTCTCTCACTGTGTCTCTCTCTGTCAAATAAATAAATAAAATCTTTAAAAAAAAAATGACAACTTACTATGAGCACGGTGGCAGAGGTAGGACAGTTGTCATTTGGGTTGGAGTCTTGACAAACTCAAAGGTATGGGTGCCAGCTAGAGTCGCGGCAGGAAGCCGATGGCTCCCCTCAAGGGAGTAAAATTGAGGAGAGCTTAATGAAGGGACTAGTTACAGAGGTGTGGCCAGAGTTATGGGAAGCTACAAGGCCAGCGGACACCCCAGGGACTGGGGCACGGCAGGCAGTGGTGAGGGGGCAGAGACCTCCCAAGTTGGGGGTGTAGAGAGAGGAAACAGGTGCTGATGAAAGCTTTCAGTTCAGGCAGGGAGGGAATAAATCTCTCAGCCCTTCCTTTCTCCTTTTTTTTTAATATTTAATTTATTTATTTGAGAGAGAGAGAGAACATGTAGAGGGAGGAGCAGAGGGAGAGGGAGAGAGAATCTCAAGCAGACTCTCAGTTGAGCCCGGAGCCCAACGCGGGGCTCGGGGCTCGATCTCAGGACCCTGAGATCATGACCTGAGCGGAAATCAAGAGTTAGACGCTCAACCGACTGAGCCACCCAGGAACCCCTCCTTTCTCCTCTAATCTGCTAGCCAAACCCAACCGAAAGTCTGAGGCCTTTGGGGGTTGCGGAGCCCATTCATACAGTCCACACGAGCAGTCTCCCCGCGCCCAGAGCACGTACAGTAGAGGCGAAACCCCAGGAGCAAACGGAAGATACCCTACTGGTAGCCAAACACGCTCACCAGCACATAAACATTCAGTGTCATCTGAGGTCAGAAGTGACACTCTGGAACCTATCTGGTTTCACCCCCACTGTGGTTTTTGTTTTGTTTTGTTTTTTAAGATTTCTTTATTTAGGGGCGTGTGGGTGGCTCAGTCTACGAAGCGACTGCCTTCGGCTCAGGTCATGATCCCAGAGTCCTGGGATCGAGCCCCGCATCGGGCTCCCTGCCGAGGGGGGTTGGGGAAGCCTGCTTCTCTGTCTTCCTCTGCTGCGCCCCCTGCTTGTGCTTTCTCTGTCAAATAAATAAATAAATA